TTATGGAGAGAACTCTCCCTGCCCCCATGTGACAATGCCAAGCCAATCATCAAGCACCAGAATTGTCGCATGGGGTGAGTCGCATGCTCCTCCAATACCGGGAAGTTCCCTTTTTTTCTTGGCTATCTTTGGAGGTTTGCCTGTCAGAACGGCTTGATGTTCAGACTAAGCAGGGGGTAGTGAAAGCTTCTGTTGCCTAAATTTCACATCTGTCAGCAGATTTTTATTTATTTTTTTTAGCTGAAGTTTAATCTGCTTATATTTTGCCTTCCCTGGTTCTTCCCCCTCCCTCCCTTTTTGTTATAAAACTTTTCCATTTTCATTACATACCTTATTTTACACCCAGTGACCCAACGTATTCCATCACTGTTTGTTTTTCAGGCACAAATCTGCAGAGAGACCACTCGGTGACAGAACGCGGACGGAAGCCATTGATCTCAGTGTCGACCGTCTGGCTCTGCTGGGCCGGATGCACACAGCACGGGTGGTTGTGGAGTCCTTAAAGGTCAAACCGGAAACCACACAGGTGACCCCAGGCAAGAAAGGCAGCAAAGGGAAACCACCAAGACCGGCATCGTCCATCAAACGGTATGTGGTGATCAGAATACATTGGTACATATAACTGTCTGCAAACACTCTGCCACCCAGGAATCTGCTGCAAAATAATGGGATAATAAAGAGATTTTTCTCCATTGAGGAACACAGCAGGGAGTTGGAGCCGTGAGACACTCATGCAATACTCGGCTCTCTATTGGTCAGAGAGAAAGAAAGGGTTTGGAAGAACTTAAGGTGGGCATACACAATTCCAATTTTGCACAGTGGGTGCCACTGTCGGCACCCTCCCGCCCGTCATCTCTCGATCACAAAATTGAAGGAGCTGATCGGAAAATCTTTGGCGGTGCTTGCAGCCAATCAGGGGGCTTCTCGTGCTAACGTCACCACTGAATCTTCTTTTCTGGATCCTTAGAGAGCCCCGCCGGTGGACAGCCAATAGATAGTGTCCGCATTACACAGGCAGGGACTTGGAGGAACATAGAAGGACTCTGCCTTCTGTAAACAGAAGAAGAAAGGAGACTCGGGATCAGAATGTCATGTGACCACAGATTTCGATGAGTAAAAATGGCATCTAGTTAGTTTTTTTTTCTTTTTTTGGCCCCAATTAGTTAGAGTGGGGCTTTAAGTCCACTTCCTGTGTGATCACCAGGACAGAAATGAAGAGAATCTCTCTAGCAAGGGCAAACGTGGCAAGAGGAAGAATGGCCATAACCTGGGACAGGTCTTTATTGCTGTGTCTTCCAACTGGTGAAATTCACCCTCCCTATATGGTTCTTGGGAAAGGAAATGATGGACGGTAAAAAGGACATAGTAGTGAAGAAGCTAATGGGAGGTGATAACCTTTCCCCACTCATAGTATAAAAGAAGATTGGGGTTGGAGTTCCCTCCTAATTATCCCTGCTCACACCTCACATGGATTTCATCACATTTTCAAGATCAGCAATCAAAAGAATGAAAAGAGGAAAACAAATTTGTGAATAAGTCCATGACTAAATGCAAATGTCTTTGTGAATTGATTCCATTTAAACCATACATGGGAACTCCTACTAAATACTCAGATGAAACGTGTGTGTATGTATATATGTGTGTGTGTGTGTGTGTGTGTGTGTGTGTGTAATAAATATATATATATATAT